ATGCTGAAGACCATGGGCAAGTGGAGAGCATGAATACTTATAGAAGCAGGCTGAAGGGACATCAGAGGTTATCTCCTGGTCCATCTCCCTGCTCTGGGGCACGAATGAGCTACACCCACCTGCTTCCTTGCTTCCTGACAACTGTTTAACCTACTCCTAAGAACTAGTGATGGAGATGGCAGCAGTTGCTGCTGAGAATTCAACAGTATTTCGTGGGTTTTACTTCAGACTAGAATTAGCCTGATACCACAGACCAAACACCCATGGAGTAGATGGAGGCATCTCCCAGCACAATTTCAGCCCAAACGAATCAGATTGACACACTCTGGAGACTTGCTTCAAAAGCAGAATTTGATCCAACCATGTAGGTGCACTCTGCATCCACTGCACGTCCATTTACTGTAACAAACTCAAACATCTATACTGAGATTTCGTAATCTCAAACTGAATCTCGCTCTCTGCAGTGTTCTCCCCACTCTGGGAACAATGCAATTCCCCTTTCATCACGATTACCTTTTATATATCGGAAAACTTAACATGCATCTTACTTTCTTTTTCCTAGACTAAAGAATCCCAGTTCTTTGGTCTCACTTCAAGAATCATAAATCATAAATTTAGATTACATTTTTTTTTGTTTTCCCTTAGTCTCTCCTGGACTAATTCAATTTCTTCTGATGGTCTCTGAAATAATATACCTCTTTAGTTGAACAGGATGGAAGAAATATCAGGTCTTTTATATTTCACACCTGCTATCATAACTCACCATAGCATTTTTTTTAACAATGTTTTGCTGTTTAATCAGTCCACAGATGCTTGAAAAATTTTTTGCATTTTGGGGGAATAGAAACTAGGCTGCTTGAAATTGCCTCACCTTTGCTCTTTCTAAAACAAAGAATCCTGTATTTGTTTTTTTCTTTATCTAACTTGACTTTTGAGAAGTAATTGCAACTGGCAGTGATATTACAACAGTAATTTCACATATTCTGGACTGAACTTCATCATATCCAGCATAACATGAACATCTCAAACATCATGAGGTACAATCTGAGAAGACATTCAGAGGAAAAAAACACTTGCCCAATAAAACTCACACATCTTTCTCAACTATTATCTCAAATACAGAAAGCTTTCTAAGATGTCATCTCTTGCAGACACAATGCTTACCCGCCACCTACCAGTCTAATGACCCTTGATAGCTGTGTCTACATGGCAGGGCCACAGCTCTGGGTGTGTGCCCTGGACATGATCCAAGCCAGTTCCAACCCTATGGGACATCGCCCGGCACACCTGGACTTTTCTGGTAAGGGGTTGGAAGCAAGGACAGAGAGAAAGCTGTCGGGACTTCTGCAAGGCCCCCGGGACCAACATCATGGGGACATAGCCCACAGGCAGGGAGGAAGCATGGCCAACCAACAGATGCTTCTAGGAAAAACCAGGAGAGGAAGAACTTGCAGTTCTCAACACTTCTGATGTAGAAGATGCTATTGGATGACATTGTCTTTCAACTGGTTTTGCTTTTCAATGATTTCCTAAGGTTTTGAAATTATCAGTGCCTCCTTTGCATACTTTAAGACAAAAGTGACTCTAGACTGACGCTCACAGAAGCAGCTACTTTCACCCACATTAATGGCTTTGTCCATGGCCTGCCCTCCAGCCTCACCTTTGCCTGGGCAGTGGCTGCCCGGCTTCCGCAGGCATTTTGCCAGGCTGGGGTGAGTGGCAGAACAGCAGTGCCTCGGATGTCAAGGAAGGGAAACAGTTAGAAACCATCAGTCCAAATTAAAAGAATCAAGCTTTCTTTGGGCTCAGTTCATTACTAAATGCTCTTTGATTTTAGCCCAGGACGGCAGGTCTAAAGGCTAATAGCCAACAGGGAGTGAGGGCAGGGGAAAACCTACGTGTCCTGGACTTTTAAGAATTTGGTGTCTGTTCCTCTAAGGAAGTGCAGATTTCCAGTAAGTGATACTCCTGGTTGCCTCCGGGCACGATCCCTTCACACGAGTAAGACAACTTACACACACAGACTGATCGAAAAGACGACAGCAACACGAACTCCTCGCTGCCCTCCTCTCCCTCCAGGAGCCCCGACAAAACCCACCCGCTTCCTTTCCGCGGGGTTCCTCTCCTTTTCCCTCCTCCCGGGGATCGCCCTCACCCAGCAGCACAAATCGGGTTTCGGGAACCCGCGACAGACGGCGGGCGGGCTGCGCAGCCCCGACGGGGGGAGCTCGCCCCGAGCCCCCGCGGCACCGGGGCCGGTCGCCGCCGCTGTTCCCTCCGTAACCTCGGTCTCAGCCCCCAGCCCTAGCCCCACTCGGCTGGAAGGGGACTCCCCCGTCGTGGCCCGGACTCACCAGCAGCGCCATCAGCCGCGCCACCGCGACCGCTGCCCCGCGACATGGCCGCTGCCTCCGCCACCACCGCCCTCCGCCGCGGGGTCACCTCCTCCGGCCGCCCGGCGGGCGAAAATGGAGGCAGCCCGTCGAGGGGCGCCCCAAGTAGCCGCGGGTGGGTGGAGAGAGGCGGCGGGGAGGGGGCAGGTGGCGCCCGGGCCGCCCCGCCCCGGCACCTCCTGGCCCGGCCCGGCTCAGCCCGGCGGTGGTCCCCCGAGAGATGCCCGGCGAGAGGGGCGAGTCGGGGCGTGTAGGAGGCGTGCAAAGTACCTGTGGCAACAAAACGGTAAATTAATGAGTAATTGGGGGGGAGAGATTCGTGGGAAAATAAAATCGGGAGCTGTTTTAGCATAGCCTTCCAACCTTTTCCTGTAATCGCTTTTTTTTTTTTTTTTTTTTTTTTTTTTTTTTTTTAATTTGCTTCCAGCCATGTCCTTCCTGCTGCTATCTGGCAGAGATCTTTCCTGGATACACCTGATTAAATGGTGCTGACAAAGACATAACTGATTCTTCACGATGGCGAAACAGTTAAATACACTTTCCATGCATCCTGCTATACGAGCTACTTACCTAATTAATCTGCAATTGCACTCAATTGTAAATGATTTCTGAAGAGGCTGGTTGTGATACCAGGAACATGCCTTGTTGCAGCCTTCCCAATTACACTGTGTTCCCCAATTACATGCTGTAACAATGTGTGATAAATAACTGCATGTTATCCTCGATGCCAGTTGCAACAGTTATAATATACATGGGGACCAGTGTCACCACTATCAACAGTATCACCTCACAGTTCATTCTGGAGTTGTGTATACCTGTTTGTAGTTATTTAGGAAATTGCAATCTATGCAGTTTGCTGATACTGTTACATCAAAATCATTTTCTTACTTAACAAAAACAAAAGGCAGAAACAATATGCTCAAAATGCATAATATCAAGGATTTCTATATTCTTTGTTGTTTCTGTCACTGACTTACCGCGCTCAGTGGGTTGCTTTGTAACAGCACAGAAATGTGTACGTTTGCACAAGAATGCACCCTGAGGTCCTCTGAGGATCTTCTTCAGGGTGTTAGGGGCAAGCATGTAGTTTTGTGCAGATTTGACAGCCAATGGGTGCAGCTAATGTTGCTCAAAACATTGAAATTCTCTTTCAGTAATTCTTGTTTAAGATTAATAAGGTAGAACATGACTTGGAGAGCCTTCATATTATAGTACTTTAAATTTTGTGATTTAGAAGTAAATTCTGATTCTAACTGTACATTTCCTGGCCTGATGATGAAGCATAACTGCAAAGTGTTTCATTACATCAAATGGATGTAAGAGAAGAACCTTGATTTGCAACATTTGTCTTAAGCTGGAAATCGGTTCCATGGTACTCTGAAACAGCTTTTACTTGCCTATCCAATGCACTGCCAGTAAGGTATTAGCAAATATGCATATTTACAATTATTTGCCCTTTTGTAATGCTGGTATGACAGAGTAAGAAACTAAACTTATTTCCTTTGAAAAACTCTTGGCACTGTTTTCATTATTTTCAAGAAGCTTACGCTTTCACAGGAAGAAGGAGTAGAATCATCTCTTCTTCAAGGAGCTCAATAACCACAGCAAGACCAGAAGCTATTCTACAGGTTATTTTGTTGGAATTTTGGCATCTGTTCTTGTGTTGCTTATACCAGTCATATGGGTGAGCTACACGTCCTGAACATTCTCAAGGCTCTCAGTCTTAAAAAAGAAAGTTTGGCTTTTTTTTTTTTTTTTGGACTCGTTTAACAAGTCAAAGCAGGAATAATTATTATGGAAGTTCCTCAGTTCTCTTGCATGGGAAACTATTATTATTCATATTTTACAAAAATAATTTGCCTGATGTTATGAAATAAGTATCAAACTATCAGTTTGTTTCTAACACAGCTCCTAGCTATGTCACCATCCCCTGAAGTTGAATTTCTTTCTGCCTTTTCTCTGTTTTAAACCTGGCGGCTACAGAACCCTCCTCCTCCCTCAACTGTTCTGACCCTAAAACCAGCTTGCATGGGAGGATCCGTGGAACGTTAGATCTTTATTTTCCCTCTGGAGATAGCAGCGGTTCAAAGTTCACAGGCTCCAGAGAACAAAGAAAAAATTCATCTTCGCTTTTAAAACCTTAAAAGCAGTCATGCACTTCTTCAGCTCAGGAACGGGGCTCTCCACGGTGTGCAGCATGCACCAGGTTGCTGTTTTCTCAAAGTACAAACATCTGTCTACATTCTCTTGATAAGCTTTGAACAGCAAATAAATTATCTTCTAAAGCAACATAACTTTCCTGGGGAGAGAGGGTTTCTGGGGAGGGAGAGTGTTTGCTTTCAGCGATGATAATTGTCAGCAAAAGTATTCTAGCAACTTACAGGCTCAACTAGTGGCCTCTGTGAAAGGGGCTTGGTGACTCACACACGAACCCTGCCTTGTCCCCAGATCTGCTGCCACTCCCTCTTCAAGCTGAGTAATGCTGAACAGCCGTGCAAGGCAGTCCCTGGGTTTGCTGGGGCGGAGGACAAGGGCATTTCTTACAAAAGCTAAGGTAACCTTACTGTTGCAGTTGAAATGTAGGCTTTGTTTGTTTTTTTTTTTTTTTTTTTTTTTTTATTTTCCTAGGAAAGTAGTGTTTTGTCTTGTAGTCATGCAATTAAATCAAATGAGTGCTGTGCTTAGCAAGTGGGATTAAGATGGAAATACAGCATATATCCTCAGGAAATAAATGCTGGAATCTGATCATAGTTCATATTTAGCTATTATGCAAGTATTTCTTATTGCTTGAAATTATTTCCTTAGAATTTTGTTCATTGTTTAAAGATGATCCCAGCTGCCACTCTGCTTTTGGAAAAGAGATATATAGAAAGTAGTGCATCAAGCCTGTGCATGAATTTATCACAATTACATTTAGTTACTCAAATTTTGTAATGAATATTGTAGATTCTGTGAAGAAATGTACATATTGCAGAGAAGGGTCCTAAAGCCCTGTCTGACTCCTGGCATCAGAGTGTTCCATCAACTATAGCTACAGCTACCATCTCCTACATGCTTGCAGCCCTGGGCCTTTGGGTGCAGGAAAAAATAAAAAAAGGGACAGAAATGTATTAGCGCCAGGATTTGGTGATTAAGTAAACATTCACACTCTCAGAATGGAGCCATTGTTTCCTCTGTGTGCGTTTACCCTGTTTCTTATTCCCCATGCACTGTGCCATGCTCTTCAAACACGTTTATGCTGTTTATTTGCCTGTAGCCACCAGAAATAATCCTTCCCTTTCTCCGGTTTTACCTTCCCTCTCTCCCTCAGCTGCTTTCTCTTTATCTTTCTGTCTTCAGCCCTTTCCCCTGTACTCCCTCTCCTATTTTCTGCCTCCTCTTTTCCATGCAGCCAGGCTGGCCAACCTTCCAGGTGCAGCTGCAGCCGTGGCAATGAGTAAACCCGCTGAGTTGTGGGATTGGCGGAGCTGTAAAAGCTCAGACCAGACTCTTGCCTTTATCGCGGCATTTTGTTACTGTCTGACAGCAATAAAATACAAGGTCTTTTATGTGTGTGAAACAAGGAGTGGCAGAACAACTCTCGTGTTGTTTCTTGCTGCGTAGCAACCCAAGCCGCTCTGAAGTTGCCTATAGGCCTTGCTTTCAGGGCAGTGTGACTTACCTTTCTGAGGAAACTTGCGTAACAGAAAGCATTTAGGTAGGTACAAGCTAGCTCACGATCCTCCCATACAGCTCGGAGAAATAATAGCTAAGTTTCACTTGAATTGTGGAAGTAATCCCTACCAGTGTTACTGCAATTTTTTAAGTTCAGTATCTGCTGCTGTTGTGCAATACCATGTAAGATTTCAGGAACTGTAGATATAGGGATGTGGCATTCCCTGATCAAGAAAGAAGAGTATTAGTCTCTTTTGTTTTCCTCATGTCACAATTCAGGTACATGAGCTAATACACTTAAAATTACTGTGTATGCCATTACACTAAGTCAACAGGTAATCTTGGAAGGGGTTGGCTTAGAAAAAAAAAAGTGTCTCAGTTTTAAAAGAGAACAACACAGGCACAAAAACAGACATCAACTTATCTGAAGGTTATTCTGGAAATCAGAAGAAAAGCAAACCCTCAGATCGGCAGGGTGACTTTCATTTGGAAGCGTAAGGACAAGAACTCAACTGCTTTTTTTTTTTTTTGTGCAGATTGTGGTCATGTAACAAAACAGATTCTGTAACATGGGTGCTGATTGTCAATGGACTGGGTGTGATACTGGAGAAGGTTCCTTCATATCTTATTTCTTAAAGACTATTTGAAAGTGAGGTTGGTGTTCAATGGATCTGTCTAAATGCTAACTAGAACTTCACCCTCGGTTGTTTCCCCAGAGTACCTTGTTGGAAATTACACTCTTCGCAAGCACTGTCTAGCTTGTTGGAGAGTGCAAGTCTGTCAAATCAATAAGCATAGGAGTTGACTATGTGTTAGGATATGTTTTCACTACATTTAACAGTTTCTGAGTTTAGAGTCACTACAGCATCCATCCATGTGTGAAAATCTCTCATTAAGTTATGGTAGTGATGCTGTAGCAGAGAGGATAGCTCTGACCTCTGGCTCAACTTTTATTTGTGCTGGTAATTTTTCTGCACTGCAGACTGACCTGTTCAGATGCTTTTCCAGTGCTTGCCCTGAATTAGTGACCTGAGTCCACAAGTCACCTCACAGCTCTACAGGAAAAAAAAAAAATAAAATCCTACAGTAACTCAGCTCATGCCAGAGCCTATGCATGTGTACTGTCTGTACTTCATGATGAAACAGAACTGGCCTTTCATTTTTATGTTCCTATTTTAAGACATTCCTTAAACAACACAATCCTCTACAGTTTGGATAAATATTATTCTGAGATGGAAGGAGAATGGGTTTGGTCTTTATATTTCTTTTTGTTCCCTTGGCAGTACAGAAATAGCTGATAATTCTTTGGTGAGAAATAAATTGCAAAACTGGTTGATGCCAATATGCTGGCATAGGTATTTACATTTAAGACCTAAAATCTGCCTGAGTATTTCCTAGTATTTCTACATCAGGAGAAAAACAAGAAAGTGAGGATAACATTACTTAAGTTCATTTGAACATGAGGAAAAGAGTAATAATGTTCAGTGTTGTGCACTAAATTAAAAAACTCTTCCTTTCTCCTCTTTGTATGTTCCTTTGGATGGTCAGAAAGTTCAGATAGGCAAAAGAGTCATTAGGCAGGAGAAATTCAGCCAGGGAAAATGTACCCATAATTAGAATTTTGCCACAGAAAACTATGATTTAAGAAATCACCCCAAATAATTCCTTTCCATATTCTGTAGTGCAGGTTGTGTCTGGTCACCATCTGGGACTCACAGATAGAATAGATAAACTCTTCAATAGTCTCCACTTGCTTTTTCATCTGGGCTAATGTCCACATTGGCCTGAAATAAATCTCTTCCCAGCCGGAGCATATTAATTTGGCTTCAGGGCATTTATTTAATCCATCTTCTGAATTAACTGGAAAACTACATATTTTCTGATGGAGAATGTGTAGGCCAGAGGAGCACACACATCTCTCCTTCAGCCATATGTACATTTCCTGAGAAAGCCCATCTTCCATTTATTTATTTATTTATTTATTTATTTATTTTCAGTTGATGGGCCTTGGGGAATGATCTTTGGTTTCATGGAGTGAGTGTTTTCTGAAAAATTCTGGTGGTGTTATGTGGCATCACTGGGAGCCACAGAGACAGCACAGAGGAATGAGGTCTGGTTGGTTGTGTTTAGTCCTCCCTAGTCTCCTCTAGTCCTCCAGGGTGCTTGCAGCTCCTTGGAAACAACTTTCTCAGGAAAGGAGGAGGAACACCCCACCCTGCCAGGAAGGTGTGGTATCTCTGTAGTTTCTTTTAGGAAGGGGAGAATGAGAGGATTCAGCCCTTCACCGAATAACTAAGGTAAGACAACTAAATTACATTGAAACATGGATAACAAAAACAGCTTGACCAGTAATTTTGCCTACTGTCCTACTAAAAGCTAGGTGCAACAAATTGCTTATCTATCTAATGGCATGGACACAGTTTTAGCTTTATTTATTTATTTATTTATTTAGTGTCTCTTAGAGAATGAAGATAATAATGTCATGATCTTGAGTGGACATAGAGTATGTTAAATGTCCTTTATCTCTGTACAAATGATTTTCTATCACACAGACTTAACTTAAGGGAGAATTTAAGTATTGTCTGACCTTAACTAGCTGTTAGCTTTCATCATTGTTTTCACATTTTATATTGGTACAGATTTTGAAAAAATTAACTTACGTTGTTTTTCACCTCTGTGCATAGTCATGAAGTCCACATCACTCTTTGCAACACTGCCCTTTCAAAGTCATCTGCCCAACTTGTTTTTTCCTCTGTCATCATAGCTCTGTTAGAATATTTGGACAAAGAGTATAACCACTCTAGAAAGATATAGTACATAAAAAAGTAAAATGTTTATGAGAGAGAAATCTATTAAATTAATATAAATTTAAGCCTGAAAACGTATGTATGGGATAGAAATTAATTCTATCATTACTTGTAAGATTTTATGAAGGATTGTTGTTGTAGAGCTTTATGCTTTGGGTTTTATATTAATCACTATTATGGAGTTAGCTGTGTGGTTCTTTTCACTGAGGCACTTTGCATAACTAAATATTCAAAAGAAATGCTTTGGAATACAATGTCTGTAGTGGTGTTTACACTAAAAAATAATATTGTTTCCTAAAAAAATAATGCAGCTTAAATGAGAATGTGTATAGGTCTAGCAAATTTTATAAGCAGTTCATATTAATAGTGATAACATAATAACATACTAATAAAAACAGTTCGAAGTTAGCTGGAAAAACAAAATACCTCAGAACACAGTCTATGTGAATTCTTAAATTTTCTAAATCCTAGATTTAAAAAATGAGAAGCGCAGTCAGAGGAAGTCACATGATCCAACCTAATAAAGATAAACCTGTCAATCTGAAGATAAAGGCAAACTTGGTTTCTGTATCCTCACAGAGTTGGTAATTGTTTCAGATTTTTTAAAGGTACATTAAGAGATAGGAAGACAATGATAAATTTAAATTGCAAAAAGGAAAATTAAAGTAAGCTATCAGATAAACTTTCCAGTAGTGATTAAAGGAGTTGTATCAGCCAGAAGGCTGATGAATCTCATCAGTGAAAGATCTTTATATCAGGATTGCCATCCATTGGGAAAGATAGCAGTAGAGCTGATCCTTTGTTGAGTCCCTTCCATTCATATTTTCATTAGCATCAATTGGATTCTGAGCCCTTGACACCTCCAGGCCTTCCTATTCAGCATCTCCTGGTGATCTGATGCAGTCAGGTGCTGTCCATTCATGATACAGAGACTGATCCTGTAACTTTGTGTGCACTCAGTATTCCGTTTGCAATGACTCGAATGTATCATGCTGATAGCTAAAATATTTCCCCGAAGTAGTTTTTTTTTAATTTCTCTCCCTGCCCAAACACCACTAATAAAAAGGTCCAAATACTCTTTCACCCTCTTTTATTATCTTTTCTCCAACAAATCTGAGTAAGAATATATGTTGCCATGAATTTCCCATATTGCCTAGTGTTATATGAACGTTGCACCTCAGCCCCTGTTCTCTTAAACATTGCATGTGCGTTTGACTGTGAACCTAGATTCACTCTTCACTTTATTATGTTCATACCGGAATGATTTCAAATGGCTGGCCTTCTTTAAAAGTACTTACTGATGACAAAAGAGTAAAGTAATACCATGAAGAAGTCTCTGGCCTGTCATTAAATAGCAGTGCCAAACACGTGCCATAGTTGATAGTGGCTGTGTCAAAAGGTTTTCCTGTTTTGCATATTTTAATATTAGCTAAATTTAATCAAGGAAATTATTTTAAGGGTAAATGAGAAATAAACCTAATCCATAGTTTGAGGAGCTTGATATCCTTATGAGGATATTAATGAGTCATTCTAAAGTTAAAGTTAAACATTCAGCCACAGTTCACTTCTGGGGAAGAAAGATATGTTCTCTACATAGTTAAAAATTTTTGTTACCTCAGTATGAGGGAAATCAGGATATATTGTACTCAGATATTCACTATATGCTAAGTTTGTCCTGCAAGCTCTTCATTCATGGTGTATATAAGGAAGGTAGTTTTGATATTAAGTTGATATTAAACTTTTGCTGTTGATTTTGTCTGACATTTATGCTGTGTGATATGGCACAGCTGGTGATAATGTTAAACTGAAAAGCACACACATGAAGTACTGCAAGTCTGTCACACATTGGACCTATCATTTTCATTCCTCAGTGGGCTCATAAAACTATTAAATTCCAGCCACACATAGAGCCATTCATTTTCCTAGAGAAACAAAATGTTAAGGATTTTGTTTCCAAAGTAGTTATCATATACTTACCTTATTAATAAATTCATTTTTAAGTGTAACATTATGTTGTTAAAAGTGATTACATAATTACTCTGTGAATCACAAATGGAGATAGAACAAAATAAGAGCTGTCTCCAGTGATTTTTCTGTCTGTTGGGAAAACGGTTATTTTTGCATGGGATGGTTATTGTAAATTCATCTCACCACCTTGGGACCTCTGTTGAATGCAAATACATGCTGATTTTGCTGCCAAAATGCAAAGGACAAAACAAAAAAAAAAACCAAAAAACATCACCAAACTACAACCACAGACATACCAAAAAGAAAAAAAAAAATAAAAAAAGCTTAAGGGCTGAAGGGCTGTATTCATTTCTTTTTTTTTTTTTTTTTCTTAATGGTTACACAGCTATGAATGTGAGAAAGTGCAAAGCTTGTTGGTTAACATCAGTGCTAAGACTGACAGCTTTCCATTAATACTTGCCTATTTCAGATTCTTTGATTCCTCTATAAAAAAGTGCAAATCTCAGACAATCTCCTAGCACAAAGACTAGCCAGAATTTCAAAAGTTAAAAAAAAAAAAAAAAAAAAAAAAAGAAAAAAGTAAAAGCTTCTGTGGAATGCTTGTGTTAGACACTGAAGTTGAGCTTAACAAAATTGAAGACATCCCCTCCGTTACTTCGAAGCATGACTGATAAAACTTACAAGCAAAATGGTTATATTTCTTTGCACTCTGTCTCTGGAAATGGTAATGGGAGATACCATCTAGAAAGCACACGTGAGCCTAGCCCCTCCTGGCACTCCATTCCCAGGTACTCACACAGACAAGGCTATTTAGCTTACAAAAAATAAAAGGCCCAAGCAGTTAGCAAACTAAATTTGCAGGTCGGCCTGATGTGCAATGAATATCAGATGTCAGTGTATAAAATGGATGTCTGTTAAGCAATTTTTGTTTATTTTCCTAAATTGGCTTTTCATGACTGTTCTATTTCATATCTTATTATGCTGTATCTTGAATTCCAAGATGCTGTTTAGCTACCAGAGACAACAAGAATTTGCATTATACAAAAGTGCATTCAAAACTATCACCAACTGTAATTTTGTTTTTGTTCTCCTTTTTGTTAATTTTTGATGTGCTTGGAATATGAAGGAACTTTATATCTGATGACCCATTTTTGACTTGTACATGCACTCACATAGATTTCAGTAAAAGTTGCTTGTGAATAACAAATGGTTTTCTTTAACAAATTTTGCTTTTTTCCACTAAAGCAGTTCTAAATACATGAAGATAAGTGATAATTTATCTCTATTGGAATTAGTAGTGCCATTTGTTTCAGTTGATTGATTCAAGTTCATTTTTGTATGTTTGAAGATGGACAATGTTTTTAAACTGAGTTAACTTACTGGAAAAATATTTAAATCAGTACCTGAGGTATGTGAGTACCAAAAGGCATGCTGTTTGAAAGATTGACAAAAAGTATGTTAAAATGTTAACACAATATAAAATGATAAATTACACTTAATGGTAAATATATTATTCTTTTTTTAAAAGCAATATTTTACCATCTTCAAATAAATCGTTTTTTTTTTTAAAGTCTCTGTATAAAATTAGTTGTTATCATGAATACTTGCCTGGGATCTTAGAAATTTGATTCAGAAATGTCAAAATGTACTGGTTTTACTTTTAGAATCAAATTCTTGTTGCTTGGAGAGGCTCAGCTTGAGCTGTATGCAGTGAGTATACCTGAGATGCCTGTGCTGCCCAAATATTGTAATTCAAGTGTCTTTTGTTGTTTTTCTTCTCTGAGGCTTGTACTCCAGCGTTAATCTACAGATCCTCTGAAGCACTGATTCAGAGCTGGACAGAAGGGTATCACAGAAAAGGGCATCTAATGGGAGAGAACAATGCAGAGAGTGATGACTTGAGGAAATTGTACTGTAATTCCCATGGACCTGATGCGAAGTTCTGTTGTGCCAACCTAAAACAAAGTATCTTAGTCATTTTGATACATGAAATAATTTCGCACTGGGATGCAATGACTTAAGTCAACAATTTTCTTTTTCTTTTCAGTGAAAGAAAACAAAAACTGGATTTTTCCACTACAAACCTTCAGTTTTAAAGAAAATCACATTTTCCACTGCTAGATTAAAAAAAAAAAAAAAAGTCCTGAGTCAGTCTACTTAAACATGATGTTCCAAATGATCATTTATTGTATTTTATTTCGGAGCCATTCAGAAATTATTACAAACAAAACTCTTAGATTTTTATTTATGAAAACACGATAACACTGTACTATTACTTGTATTTTAAATAGAATGAAAATGATGCATTTGGTTACTTGGTAGGGAGGAACATTTGAATTATACTGTTATCTTAATTCAAGCAAAATGCTAGGCTCTTTTGGATTTTTGCTTAAATTTAGTGCTATTTTCTTATTGCAAGTAGTACAATATGCTACTCACAGCAGTTTAAATTTGTAATTTATTACCACAGAATCAGGACTGAGCAAAAATAATTGAAACCTGCAGTACAAATTCAGACAGTGTTCCCAAGACAGTAATCTAACAAGATCCCCTGCTAGTGCTCTATTCACTTCCATATGACAGCTTGATTTTCATGCTGCCAAGACCTCAATGAGCCGATGGAAGACTAGGATCCTGCTCTCCAAAATCCAAGTAAGTAAAGAAAGTTATAGACTTGATGTTGCACACTGCTGAAACTTGAGGAGCGTTTGGCTTGAATGGCTTATAGCAGGCTTAAGATCACTATTTAGAGTTATTTTTCCTTCCTGAAAACCATACTTCCTTACTAATCAGCAGGATTAAAGCCAGGCAGCAAGTGGGTTTCTAAGATACAGTTGAAGGAAAAAAAAAAAAAAAAAAAAAGGCAAAAAAAAGCAGAACTAATATCTGTTAGTCAGGATTAACCTATATGCTATTTTTTAATAATAAAGCTAGAAAAAGGATTTGCACTGAATTTTAATGTGCCAAGTATTTGTTCATTCACACCTTCAGATACATTTTTGTTCCACAATTTGTAATAACCTAAAAATTTCAACATCTCACTAAGAAAGCAATTGTAAGAAAGTTTGTACAAATCACGCAGCAATAAAGATGAATAATCAGAAATGCACTGGAAATGCACTGTGGAATAATGCTGTGATTGCTGTTTAATTGCTGATCATGAGAAACCAATATTAAGAAAGGCTAGAAAGCTTTTGAGAAATGCAAAATAAAAAGCTATAGCTCTTAACCTATGTTAAAATTTACCAAAAGACAGTGCTAGCAAAATAGAGAACCACTGCATAACCTAAAGTTGTGCTTTAAAAAAGGTTTTTTTTTGTTGTTTTTTTTTTTTTTTTTAGTTCTTCCCCCTTCTACTTCTAGACATGTGAGAGCCCAGACTCAGCTTGAGCACCCATACTTCACACAGCATTCCTGTTTGAGGGGGGCAGAAAGGATTCAGCATGTGCTCCTGCAGTCTTGTTTTATAACCTTGGAGCATAACTAGGGAAAATACTTGTGATTTGCATAAGATGATTATTTAAATATTTACAAAAAACTTTTTTTTTTACATTAAAAATATATCTAATGGAATTGCATAGCTCTCTAAATGCACAGAGAGCCTTTTGCAAAAGGCTCTCTGTATATTGCAAAATACTTGCTTTTTTATATATAAATAGGTGGTTAGTGAAATGAAAAGGAGCTTGTCAGTGTTTTAGTGACTTTCAGTAAGTAATATCTGGATCTAAAATCAGACATATAAAAGCTTTATATGTCTTTATATACAACTTTATATATTAGTATCTATTTACCGTTCTTTAAAGAATGATTCTAGAAACCATACTTACAGTAGTTATCTAACATAAATAGAGAATTAATTCCACTGAAGTCAACACAATTTTAGTGATATTTAATATAATCAAGGCTATAGGATGAAGTAAAAATAGTAATAGTTCAGATCACTTTAGAGTGCTACCAGGGGAGTGCATCTAGCATGCTTCAGAAAAAGCTTGAAGCTGTGGAAGGACCTTTTTTAAGGTAGCCTTGAACTTGGCAATGAATCCTGGGGAGCACTGCTGTAAATGGCTGTAGCATAGACTCTGCAGCTCGTCTTTAGCAGCAGACATAGTTGCATTTCAAGAAGTATCATTCAAAAAGCTTTTTTCTGACATGAGACTCAGAAACTTGTCATGTAGTTGTTCTGAAATGAATTAATCTGGATTTGAAGGTTTCTTCCCCTTTTTATTGAGTGTGAATTTCACAGACAACTCTTAAACTTTTCACTAACCTGTCCATCAAAGCTGAAGAAGCAAAATTTGAGGGAAAACTACTGATCTGGTGATCCAGCAAAAACAACGACAACAACAACCAACAATCCCTCCATATAACTCTATTGTATTTACATTGACGTGATGTTGTATACACTATGCTTACTATACATATGATACAGAAATAAAATGAGATAGATACTACTTTTCAGCATTTTGCTCCTTCAGATCATAATCTAAAGCATGTTAAAGTTTTATTAGAATAACAGAATCCAGTAGAGCTGTTTTTGTGGGAAAATAAAAGCCAGATTTAATTAAGATTATAGAATCATAAAGACTTTTTCAATTAACACATTCAAATAAACTTTCAAAATATCAATGCAAAATACATTGACATATGAAATAACAATTCTCCATGCTGCATATTAGCAAATTTATATTGTTCCCAAGGGATTTTTCATTTCACAAAGGCCTTCAGCTACCACTGTCAGTATTATAATACTTGCTATTGCCTCCCCCCATCACACAGCTTCTAAGACTTTGTTTTCTTGGCAGTATTTGGGAAGAGAACTGGCATGTTATATTACAGCTCTCGTAAAGTAACCTGATGTTGGATACTTAAATGGTAGGCATAGTTTGGCACAAAAATCTGACTAACTGCTCCTGGTTTTCACCAACGTCCTTCTAGATTTAAGTAAAGCTGTAGTGGTATTGGAAAAAAGATGAAGCCAACAGCTTCTTGGTTTGCAGCATCAATGCTGCAGCTCCACCTATGGCAAATTCCTAGCCACACTCTTGGCCATGAGCATAGCAACATGGCAGGTCATGCGAGCGCACATGTTTTACTAAGAACTTCAGAAAGCTATGAAAATACATTGTGTTTATATGATTGTAATTTAGAACTTGCTGGTGATAAGAGAAATAATTCAAAGTGCTGTTTTGCAGCGCACCTGAAATTACATGCAAAGTAAAGTGATATGTTTGAAAGTGCCTATTTAGTCTTGTGTTGACTAATTGCTAATTGCATTTTTTTCCTGTCCTGCCAGTGAGGAGCCATTAACCCAAATCTGCTTGTCTTGGGAAATCACTCACCAATATAGTATTTTAACACTCTTTTGTCTGATATTAATTCATGCTGATACTGTATGTGGATCCCTTCTCACTGCTCTCCTTACTTATCAGATCTCTCTCTAAAATCGTTAGTGTCTGTTTGCACAAGTTTATCGCTCTGTGGAAAGAAAGAGAAATTTAGAGCTCACCTCAGCTTTCCCTTCACTGACAAAGTTTTTGACCTTGAAATGGGGCACCCTTCTGAGATCCTCACTCAAGGAGGAATTCCTGAAATTTCAGTGCTGTTTTCTAGTTGTAAAAAATGATGATATTCTTGGTGGGTGGCAGCTAACAAATGCCGATGCAAGTGCCAATTTCAGTGGGGAGGTGCGCTGGCAGAAGCCTTACTGGCTGGAGTACTGCACGGTGCTGTACTTTGTCACTCTTCTCCGGGAGGTGCCAGGGGATGCTGTGCCCATTGCCTGGCCAAGGTGGCAGTCGGTATTGAGCATCTGACCTGTGCTGCTCAGGCCCCCCAGGTTTGCCCCCCCTAGACCTCCCCCCGCTAGGCCGGTCATCCCAGACCCTGACACTACCCTCTCAGTGACCACCACATTGTGGGTGTTGGATAACTCTGAGGGAATATTTATTAAGCTGCCCGGCATGCCAGAGGCAGGCCTGAACACCCTTTCTGTCACCACCACATTCGACCCATCTACCAAATCGGGAATGCTCAGAGACGTTGGAAGCCGGGAATTAGGTGCAATGACTCTTTCCGTGACGATAACGTTGGACCCGTCTGTGAGATCGGGAATATCTAGCATGCCACGCAAATCGGAGGCAGACGCAGGACCAACAACCCTTTCTGTTACAACAACATTGGATGCGCGCAGTGGGTCAACACAAGGAGAGCCGGAGGTGTAGGTCTCTGTCACCGTCACATTACCATGGAGCAAAGGATCAGGCATGGGCCGTGGGGGCTGTATGGTAGATGCAGATGTGTAGGTGTTTTCAGTAACAACCGTGGTAGTGCCAACCGGGGGAGCCATGGGTGCAGAGCCGTTGACAAGGATGGTGGTTCCAGGTGGCGGGAGGTTCAGGTCACATTCAGGGTTGGGAAAGGTGACATTAATGCCTGGCCAAGGTGGGTTGACATCAGGGAAAGGTTCGATCTCCTTGCCCAGACAGATCTCTGCCAGGGTCTTAAACTTTGGTCCTAATGTATCCAAATACGTTTCATCTGTGTCTTCTCCAATAAAGCTGCAGCAACCAACAGAGCCGACAGGAGTACCTATTCCTTCGTGATCATATATTAATAGGCAGTCATTTGCTGGTCGACCTTCATCTTCATCTGCATACACAAATGCTTTCTGTAGGTTGCAAAAACAGAAAGGTGAACAGAGTGACTTTTTGTCAGGTTGCTACCTGTGATGACTCAAGACATAGTAAAGTTTCCCCAACCACAATAAGGCCCAGATGACTTGAAAAATGGAACAATTCAAGACAAAAAAAAAATAAAAATAATTGTGTGACCTTTTGAAGACATATGCAATTATAGTGTTATGCATTACAGTTCATGATAATTATAGAAATATATCCATTAAATCCAATTTATATCCAATAAATCCATTAATCATGTAAACTCCATAGGATTTTATCCCATATGTAAAATCAACTTAATATTTTCCCAGTTACAAAACTGTGTGTTTGTGTCATTTGCATCTCACAAGTCTTTTACAGAACAAAAAAGGTAATAAAAATATGGAAGAAAGTGAACTGGTATTCACAGTTCCTTAAGACTTAAAGTTACTATGTTTAACAATCTCTGAAAAAGTATTTGTGAACAACTTCACAACTTTATTATATATCTGTACACTGAAAATGGTGGAAAATGGGTACATGTGATGGTCACTTATTAAGCTGAAATAATTTAATTACTGCCCATACCTGCAGTGTGTCCATCAGTTTTACAGAAATGAATCCTATTGAACAATCAAAACTTCTGTGCCAACAGCTCAAAAGCAGCATTATTAATGTCCTGGTTTTTACTACTAGTACAGTGAGCTTTGCTCTTACACCAGTCTTGTATCATGGGAGTTTCAGTTGAGTGGAGTTGTTTGTATTTAGACATTGGAACAGACTGCCCAGAAAAGTGGGGAGTCACCACCCCTAGACGTATTTAAGAGGTGGTGCTTAGGATGTGGTGCTTAGGAACATTGTGGACATCGTTTCATGGTGGACTTGGTACTCTTAGGTGATGGCTGGACTTGATGATCTTAAGGGTTTTTTCCAAACTATGGATCCTAAGATTCCATGATTCTGTGATGTTGTATTTTCACAGTGTCACTTGGGGAGGATAGCGTAACAGCAGACTCACAGATACAACACAAAGAAGACCACATAATTACCTCAGAGAAGTAGTTGTCTAGGAAGGCCATGTTCACCCCTCCTTCTCGATATTCTTTTATCGTTCCTCCCGTTGACCCTTTTACTTCCCCTGTTCCAGAAACTCCTCCAGCTGTTCCATAACCAGTACCAGTGGCATAGCCAACCCCTGTAGTTTCTTCAACACCATGACATACTCCTCCTCCTCCTCCATATGTGTTTGTATATATATCTGAGAACAATAAAAGAAAATTCTCTCTCCTCTGTTCTGTGAAAATTTTCACAGAATTTTCCAGTTGTTTTTGCAAATAGTATAATGACACTGCTGAGATTCTAAAGATATTTTAGAATAATTACAGGCACAGATCTACACACATGTGCCAAACACTAAAACTGCAATAAAAATTAAGTGCATACTAGCAGACATCTAAAAATTCGATTTTATTTGTGATGCTAAAGCTAGACATACGTGCTTTAAAAAATCAATGTTTGGCTTATGCAATTGGAGAGCTTTCTGTCTGGTGTATGCATATGCTGCCATGGGATTTGCATTGGCAAATATGGTAATGCTTATAGATATTTATGCAAATGCATGGAAGCATATTTATAACCCCACAGGGGTTAAAATTGTTTTGTCTGAAACTGTTTACTAAAAGAAATAGCTTTTTAACTCCTCTCCAATTTTCTAGTTCTTAGATTGTTAAAGGGGATTCGGGAGAACAACAGCTGATCATAATAACTGCTGGTGTTAATAATACAGAATGAAAGTAACCTTTATACTAAATTATAAAATCATCCACACAGAGTTTTATCTTTTCCACATTTTTTCATATATTATACCAATGAATGTGTGGTCTTAAATATTAAAATGTAATATAATAAAACAATTACATGCAGTAGTCTTTTTGACAACCTATGATTGCATTAAGAAATATAGGCCAAATTCTATTGTTTTTCTATTTAATCTTATTGGTGTCAGGTGATAGAATTTGAACCTGGGGCTCTCACTGTAGCAGTACTGAACAGTGGAAATAACTAAATCACAGGTGAAAGTCTTAAACATTTCTATTGCCATGGCAGCAGAACTTCTCTGAGAACAAAGACATATTCAAATTTATGACCCAAAATATTCTCTTTTCTTTTTGTCTAAGGATAAGAACATTTTTTGGCTAATCAGTGCTCATCTGAGAAGTTGTTGCTTGCACAATGTCATTTCTTCCTGTCAGAAGCTAGAGGAAATGGATCTGTGCCAGCATCGTTACTTCCTGTTGTGGAGTAAGGAATGGGGAAAAAGAGAAAGCGGAACTGCAGAGCTAAAACTGCAGAGCTAAAGTCTATGCCCATCAAATTCCTGGGGGAACCTTATCACAGAAACATGTATTTATTATATGGTGTGCCAGCTTTGTATTTAGGTTGGTGCACAAATGGGCTACTTGATAAGTCCTATTCTCCCTTGTGCTAAGGAAAGCCTTGAAATTGGCAAGGGACAAATCTTCCACCACTGAGTTATGAAAGAAAATTTCCTTATTTTCATCTTCAGATTCATTTCTGCTAGAACTGGTATCTTCAAAAAGGCCTCCATACACTAGCTGGAATGATCAAGAAAAAATGCCTGAGATTTGAAAGCCTCAGCAAATATTTCAAAAGAAATGTATCTGCCCATTTTCAAGGCTCAAGTCTCAGACCCTTCACTCATGCTGGAAGTTCTACTGGCATCAGTTTGACTATCTGCAGAGGTAAGATTGGAAGGGTTGTGTTGTAGCTGAGAAACCAATGTGCTCCCTGAACCAGAAGACATGAAGTTCTGAGAGACAGCTTTATGATAGCACAGATAGAAAATCTTTGGATATTCTTACCAGAAGGTTCACCAAAATCACCTCCAGCAGCTGTTGTTGGGGCAAGAATGTGTGAGACATCCTGGAAAACAATATTTTGATTCCTTGAATGATAACTTTGAAATTTCCTTATGAAGGTCAAGGCTTTGTGAATCATGCTAAGGAATTACCACTCTAAACTGTTAATTATAGCTAAGAGTCACCACTTCCATTAAAAAATAAAATAAAATTTTCATTTTCAAGGTAAGAGATGATCAGTGAAGATGGTTTGCGTTATCTTGCCCTAGCTTGCACAGGAAAAGCTTGCTAATTACACTTCAGCTGAGGGAATCGTAAGATCAGACTGTTGGGCCAAGATAACCAAAAACAACTTAAAGCACGCAAGCTCCATCTGCAAATCTTAATTAAAAATCAGCTTTCATACCTGCCTGGCAATGGCTGACAATGCCAGGCTTCTTTTACAAGATGACATAGTAATACAAACACTTTCTGGCTTCTAGACAAATGTAGTCTTTTCTGTAAACAGAAATTACTGCAGGGTTTTGAAACATGGGATGTACTGACCCTATCTTCAGGCTGTGCACCTTCTATTCCCCATGGATGAATTGCCCCTTCTGTGCATTCAGGTACAGGTTCAAATCCAGTTCCAACTCCAGCTGCAGCTCCAGGTCCACAGCCACAACAGTCACTCATTGACATCAGAATTGGAATCACTTAACAGGAAAGAAAGAATACATAGGGATTTAGGACATCCTTTCTTCATAGGAATTACTGTTTTACCCAGAGGACAGGTGCTCAAGAACTTCAGAAAAAAAAGTCTTTTGAAATGTATCAAACCAATCAGCCTGCACGTCTGCCTGTCAGAATCATTATCTGTTTTTGAAAATGTATGCATTTGGATACTTGGAATAATTTGTACCTTTAGTTATAGCAGAGTAAAGCTGGGGTGGAGTAGGGCTGTTACTCCAAATTTATAGCTATACATCCAGGAACAGACTTTGATGTACCTCAACTGAATGAATATAAGATGTTGATTTAAGAAAATTAAACAAACAAAACCAGTCTTGCTATGTCTTGCAGTCTTGCATTCAGTGATATTCATTCTTGACACATAAGCTTATTTTTCTCTTCAGACATTGTAATTTCTTTTCAGAAATACACGTTAGTAACAATAAATGTATAAGAATCAATAGGATACTGTTCATGTGGCTACAGTGATCTTTAGCTAACACTCCAGTTGCAATATTCCTTCCCATCATCTATATATGATGCTTATTTGAAAAGCAAGAGTCAAACCCTCAAAGCCTGGCTTTAAGAAATGATTAAACACAGTGAGTCAGATTTTGCAGTGTGGTGCATTATGCTTATTTCTTTCAAGAATTCAGTGTTGGAAATTGCTGGAAAAAAAAAAAAAAAAAAAGAATTGCTCATTTTTGGAAGGGGCTGCAATATTCATTCCAGCTGTATTTAGACTATTTACCTAGATAGTTAAGCTAAAAACCTAATATTGCTGCAGAGTTACTGGGGAGACTCACTTGCTTACAGCAGACTATCCAAAGTATCTAAAACTCCCAATTTAACATCAAAGTGAAACAAAGACTAGGAAAGATTTCTGAAGGCAGAAAGGTGGCCATTCCTGTAAATTAACCAACTGGGAACTACAAACAAAAGTCTTCTTTGCAGCTTCAAAATTTTATCTTTGTTGATTCCCATTTAATCAGAGACCAAAAACCAATACGATCACTGTCTTCACGAGTCAAGTTCTCATAGTTATTTTAGTCAGTACTTCTACACTGGACAGTTTCAGATGTTGACTGCTTGATGCCAATGCCATGAAAGAAGAGCAACCACATCTGACTGCAGCAGTCAGAGAAGTAATTGCTGAAGCTCACATATTGAAAATCACATATTGATCCTTTATTGTATACAGTACTGTTTTTTAACAGATGTCATATTTAGCAGCAATGGTAAAAAGTTAAGATTATGATCTTCCTCATTTTGCCACTGTAATCTGTCCTACAGTTCAAAGGAAACTCATTCCTTCCTTACATCTTTTCATACCCAGTTTGATAGTTGCCCATTTGTTTTAGTAATTTAACTGAAGTTCAAATTGCGAAGTGTAAATTGTAAAGTAATAGGGACAGCTTTTGCCAGAATTTTCTGAATCTTCTACTAAACATTTCTACTCTTCATGGTAGTCTGAAAACGGAATACCTAAGGAATAAAACCCTGGCTCTTAGGATGGAGAGAGTTGTTTCTGAATGAAACATATGTATGCATCCTATATTCTACAGATGTATGCATGTGTTCGTACATGTACATACATCCTATATGTGTCCATACAACTCCTATAGTTTTTGATTTGGTTTGTGTTTTTGTTTTGCAGAGTTGCACATGGGAGTCCATGAGTTAACAAATGACCAAAAAGTCACCTTACTTTAGAAGAATAAAAAATACACTTTGTAAAGGTTAAAAAAAAAAAAATTATAAATTTAATACTTACGAACAAATATTAAGCCACCAAGAAACATCAGGCCAATGGCAGCACCGCTAAGTGTAGTAGAAGATGGGCCATATGTGAGAGGATAACCATTTCCATCCTCAGCAGTATATGACTCATATATTTCAGTGTTAGTATTCCAGTATGTCACGTCTGTGTAGTCTTCAGTAACAGGCCTACCAGTCCAACCAATTCTGTCATCATCAGGACCACCACCACCGTCACCACCACCGATGATAATTATTTTTGTGGCCCCACTGCTGCAATAATTGCGACTGTCACAGCGACAAGCTTGTAGAGGAATTATGTATGGTTGTAAGCAGCTTCGGCCTTGGCTATCTCTTACTCTAATATAGATCTTATAAAGGTAGAAGTCCATGTTCTGGCTCACTAATTCTGCAGAGGTAGCTTTAGGGGGAAAAAAATAAAATAAAATATATATATTTAGATTAAGATGTTGACTTTAAAAACTGCTCAAATCTATAATTTTGGTGAATTATGTTAATAGTACAGACTAAGTGTTTACATTAGATCTTCTTATGTATCTACAGTACTTATTCAAAGCTGAAACATGATCTATTCTGGTAGTTTTTATTTGTTTGTTTGGTTATTATTTTTATTAATTTATTTATTTCTTATTTATTTATTTATTTATTTATTTATTTCATTTGGAGAACCTGAGCAAGATCAATCTAGTCATCACTTTTTAACTTGAAAAATATAAAAGGGACAAATGCACTTTTTTTAGTATCTACTGCTGATTTTCCTCATTTTTATTTCAAAAATTGTTAACATATAATTTGCAAGATTTACACATTTTCTTTTCTCTCACTAGGAATTTACATGCTAGTTATGCTTTCTATTTTTTTTTTTTTTTCAAATGGTATTTCAGTTATTTTAAAATATTTAAAGTTATGAATTTGCATCTGTTTAGGACAAATAGGAGTTACAAGGATAGTTGCAAATCTGATATTTACCGTTTAATAAGGCTTTCTATACATACAGTAAATTATGCAAATTCTGTCATTTAGAAATGTATGAGATATGATTAATCAAAAAGCAAGCAGAATTTGTACCATACATTGCAAAAGCTGTAATCTTTATTTACCATTTTCATGAGACTCTCATAAAAATAAAAATTACAAAGAACTTTTGCTCTCATATAAATAAAAAAGCTTTGTCATATGCTTAGAATAAAAATAATTAATATAATTAAATAATATAGAAATAAAAAATATCAGCCTGTCTTTTGAATTACCTCATTAGGTTTAGACCAATAAAGCTGCTTATTGTAGTTATCACACATACCATTTTCCTGCTCTATTTTTATCAATATATTTTTAGTTTCATTTAAAAGATAACTAGATAAAATGCATGTAATATTTTTCATTCAGTACTAACATATATATAGAGCAACTCTGGATTCAAATGAATATAAAATCATATTTAAGTGAGAAGAACGGATTTTAATGACTGTTTTGTATTGTTTCTTATGAAAACGTATCCTACTCTGTAATCTTAGATAGGAGGTAATTACTATGATTTATTCTGTTATAAAATGTAATTTAACTTACCATTTATTGATCTGATAATCCACGTAGTTTGAGGTTCACCATGTATGCTGAACGTAAAGGGGAGCCCGTATAGATCACCATTTACGCTCTTTGCTGTGATGACCACTGACGGGGAATGCATACATACTTTCCTTAATGCTGTATTAATAGTTGGACAATTGTCATTAACGCCTTGCATTGTAAGCACAATGGTGCCAGTGGCAGTATATTGAGGAACCCCTGTAAAAAGAAGATATTTGTAATCAGGAGGCAATGTTGATACTATAAATAATGCAGTTCAGGTGGGAAAAGATGGAACGGAAAAAAAAGTTGTACAAAGAGTATTTTATTTCAGAAAACTGAATCTGTTTTCTTACCTCTAGTAATAGCCAGAACCTCTGCTCTGTACTGCCCATGGGATACATAGGAGGATTCCCAGTCAATAACTTTGTTCAGTGTGATTTCACCAGTGTTTTGATTGATTCTGAACCAGGCACCTGGATCACGTCCTATACTATATCTGTATTTGTTCAAATAAAAATATTCAGAATTACGTTTAATATGAAACAGTATAAATGCAGACCTAGTTATGTGGGTGGAATAAATTATTCCAATTAATGTGGACTCCGTATGGTATATTGGTTTGCTATATATTCATTTTGCAAATAATGTTTGTCACTTCGGAATATTTTTTCTTTAGATTATGCTAGACACCATTGCATTTTAGCCTTTTCAAACAAAATTTTTGTAGATATCAAAAGATATACACCATAAAAAGTAATTGTCAACAAAGGAAAAGCATAAAGTTCATTATATTTTGAAAGTGCTATCATAGTCTGAAAGTAAATAAAATCTGTCTGGTCCCTGTAAACCTTTAACAGAACCTTTGATAACATCAGTAGTTAAAGCCACAACTCTTCCTACAACATACTGTGGTCATATGTGGTTATATTTGCTAATATTTTTGTCAGTTTTATGAAAGCTTTTTAAACCTTGTTAAATTTGGTACATTTATTTCTACATATGTTAATAAAACAAATTATTTGTATTAATTAGCTTTCATGAATTTCATCAGAAATAAATGTCAAACCATTTTTTTTTTAAACTATAGGATGACCTGTTAGTGACCTCTTGTGTTCTGATTGTATAATATTGCCCATTATTGTGTTTTTTTGCTTGTTTTTTTTTAGAGATGCAGGCAGATTCTCTTTCTGTGTTCTTAAGTTGGTTCATAAAAAATCAGTTTTGATTTATTTAAATTACAGATTGAGAGAAGAATGATATCTTGTTTGCATTGTGCACAAGGCTAAGGAAAGTAGGTCAGGAAACAAAAACAACCATATCATAAGAACACAGTATTATATTTCTATTATTCTATTGCTATTATTATTGTCATTAATTTTTTCCTGTTATTTTACAATACCCTTTGCAAGCTCCTTTTCTACTTCTTTGGCTGGAGTAGAGAATACCTATTCCTAATCTCATTGAAATCTCAATTAAAAGAATTATTACATCCAGGAGGTTAAGCAGATCAGAGCTTACACAACATTGGTTGCAGTAGTCCCTGTGTCCTCATCGAAAGCTGTATATGTTCCCAAAACATAGTTCGCCCTCATTTTTTGTGATACAAAAAAGATAATTGAAGATGGATTAAACCTTGGAGGTTCAATCACATTTTTTACTTCTACTATCAGGGGTGTTCCGATGACTTGGTACTGAGACATAACAGAGTGGTGGAATTCAGCTTTGTTCCTGACACCGATACTCAGTGAGTGAGTTCGGATTTGTTCATAATTCAGTTCCTAAAAGATAAAACATGGAAAATCAGAAAATAAATAAAACTTCCTGGATTGTAATCTTATTTAAATATCTTATTTTAAATGGTTGAGTGTCATTGTTGTTAGTGATATATATATATTTAACAATTAAAATTATTTTAAGATGATTATTTCAACAGCTGAATCATATTATTTATCCATACCTTAATTACTCTAAGGATTCCTTGATTTGTAGCTGGATCTGTAACAATTTCAAAGCAATTATCTTCATTACCAGATATAAAGAAAAACTCCGCTAACCAATTGTCAGTAAACTCTTCATCAGCATCCAGAGCTTGTATTCGTAGCAGTTCTGAACTGAGTGAATTTTCTGAAATAGCTGCTGAAAACTGTAATGACAGATAAATATCTATTAGCAAACACTAACGTATGTAACGAGGGAGATACATCTGACCACAGAGAAATCTTTGAAAAAGATTTCAAAGATGTTCTTAGTTAATACGAACTTTAACGGTAAAAAAAAAAAAAAAAAAAAAAGAGAAAAAAAAAAGAAAAAAAAAAGGTGTTCTGTGTAAATTGTGATTCTGGTTGCAGATCTGAAGAGCTGCGTCACCTCACATTTTTGCAGATGCAGTTTAGCAGAAATGGATTTGTGCTTTCTAACGATAATGTTGCATTTGATATTAAACACTTACAGAGCTTTGAGCAAGAGTTGGGAAGTTGTCATTGACATCAATAACTTTCACATGACAGCTACAAAGGGATGAAATTCCATCTCCAGCTCCATCCCGATCTGATGCTTTCACAACCAGAGTGTAGCTACTGTGTTGCTGTCACAAAAAGAGAAATGACTATGTTACAAGCATCTGCACATCTTATAAACTACAAATACTTATGTCATGCTACTGTTTCCTAATACGGGAATTTGCCGTAGATATTTTAACATATATAAAGAAATGCATTTAAAAAACAAAGAAAATACACCTTCTCACTCTCTCTTTCTCTCTATTTTTTGTCACTCTCATAACATGCACACACCATGACATCATGTTGTTTGACTTTGGAAATGTTACCTCTCTGTCAAGATAATTTGCCAGATGGAGTTCTCCAGTAGCCTTTTTCATAACAAACATTGGTGGGCCTGAAGGTTCCTGACTCTCTATCTTGAAGGCAATTTTAGAATTCAAGTTATTAGGTTCATCTGCATCTGATGCAATTATTTTCATCACCAGTGTGTCTAAGAATAACAATCAAAAAAAAAATCAGAAAAAAAAACTGTTCTGAAATCAGAAATACTTTGTGTATAAAAATGACAGAAAGCTGTTTGTTGACATTTATGAAGCAAATGGAAGTTCAATTTCCTAGTACTGATTTTGACTGAATGTGAATGACTGTAAAATGCATTACAAATTAAAGTCAGATGGAGTTAGGTACATTTTCTCTGAACTTCTTTAAGTCACCATAGGGAATATGTAAAAATTGTAAGTTTTGAGCCTGAATATATTCACAGAAGATATCCCCACAGTTTTAAATGAGAATTTCTAGAATGTAGGACATGAGTGTAACACACTCAGTGTTGTTCTCATGTTTAATGATGCTTGCAATGCTTTTGGTAAAAAGAACCATTTTAGGTATTTAAGAAAGAGCTTGTTTAGTAATATTCTAGTGTAACTTCAATACTCAGGCTGAAAAAAAGTAATTTATGTACCTTCACAGGAAATAAATGTAGTTGTAATGGTATTATTATTATTTAATGACAAGAAATGGACCAATTTATTTTAAGTTGTCACATCTAAAGGAATTTCATGATGGTACAGTTAGGAACTAGAATATTCAGCATTGTTGTGTGGGAGGAAGGGGAAAGCATTGCCATTTAATTTTAAGCAATGATCTTGGGCCCTACTCCAATAACACTCTGAGAAGCATCTCCTGCTCCTTCCTCTGCAGTAGCCTTGGGAAAAGTACGTCATTGCCTAAAAAAAAATGTTGAATGAACACCCCAGGTTTATATCAACTGTACTATTGGATCTTCACTAACTTTACTATGATAGGCAATAACATAGTTACTTACTGTCCATACTGCATTCTTCAACAGCTCCTGTAAATACAGATTGTGCAAATATAGGAGGATTATCATTTATATCCAGAACTCTGACTCGAAGTTCAAGAGGTGGTTCCAAATCTATACCCGTCACTGAGTGTTTAGCAAAGCAGCGTATCTAGATAAAGAGATTACTCATTTTAGAACCAGAATTGAAGGAAGCAAAGCTACAATCTGAAACAAATGAATTAGAGCATTATTCTCCTTGTGCTCCCCCTGCACCACCCTGTATTCATCATTTTAAAGGAAAAATAAAATGGGAGTACTTACAACAAATACTGGGGTCACTTCCCTATCCACTATTGCTGTTATATTAATGTCTCCTGTTCTCGGGTTAATAACAAATATTCCATATGGGGCACGATCAATTCCAACTCCAGAGATGCTGTATGTGATTGGATTGTTTTCTTCACAATCTGATCGAATCTACAATAATACATAATATTATTACAAAATATGACTTATACCAGTTTACTGAGAACATCTGCAGTGTTTTCATTTTTCTGTAATTAGTCTCCTTAAAAAAATGTGTATAAGTTTAGTTTTCCTCCTAACCACATTTCACAAGATTCAATTTATAGAACAAAACAGGCAGCCTATAGCTATGTCTGCCCTTAAATACTGGACAGGTTTTCTCTTTCCTTTAAATCTTCTGGTGGTGAAGTGAAAATGCTTGGGGAGAGAAATTTCCACGAGTATTGTGCTGTGGCTGGACCTTGGAAGCGGTATGGACAGGGGGAGAAGAAGAATCACAGAATCACAGAATATCCTGAGGTAGAAGGAACCCACAAAGATCATTGAGTCCAACTCCTGGCTCCACACAGAACTACCCAAAATCAGACCATGTATCTGAGAGCATTTCCCAAATGCTTCTTGAACCCCAGCAGGCTTGGTGCCATGACCACTGCCCTGGGGAGCCTGTTCCAGTGCCTGATCACCATCTCAGTGCAGAACCTTTTCCTAACACCCAGCCTGATCCTCCCCTGTCCCAGCTCCATGCCATTCCCTTGGATCCTATCCCTGGTCACCACAGAGCAGAGCTCAGCACCTGCCCCTCTGCTCCCCTCATTAGGAAGCTGCAGGTCACCATGAGGCCTCCCCTCAGCCTCCTCTGCTCTGGGCTAAACAAACCAAGGAACCTCAGCTGCTCCTCATACTTCGTCCCCTCCAAACCCTTTACTATCTTCATAGCCCTCCTTTGGACACTCTCTGATAGTTTTATGTCTTTCTTTTATTGTGGCACTCAAACTCTTTGCTCTGTTTTCCACCGGAGTCAGACATCATCCTTGACTTGTGCTTGTTCAGGGATTTCTCGAAGTGAGAGAGAAAAGAAAAATATCTCAATCTAGTACAGACACTAAAGAGACTATGGTTGGAGATCTCCAGGAAGGAATCTGATTGCAATGTTCTAAGAAGTCTTTGATCACTCCTCAGCAGCTGTGTGGTTTCACATATGAGACTGTCAGCAGAGCTGGAAATACTGTATCATTTTTCTTTTATTCTACATTCCTTGCCTTGACTAGTTTAAGCAAATGTGCTCTTAAATTTCTCTGCTTTTATCTGTCTTTAGAAAAAGCTTCCTTGTCAGTGAACAATTCTGCTATACTTTCTACTTACTCTGGCAATTGGATTCCTCTTAGAATTATCTTCTCCTTCTCTACAAGCTGCAGCAAATTTTATCCATTCACGTTTTTGTCTTCTGAAGGTTTTCCATCTTGCTGTTCCATTTTCACTCCATTCTTTTACCTTCGACATAGAGTACCATTAACATATGACCACCAACCTCAATACATTTTAAATTAATTCAGACATAAAGAATTTCCCACAATAGGAGGAGAAGAATACATCTGCAGGTCCCAAACTCTAACACTGTACATGTGTACTTTAAACTTATTTCTAGATATTCGTATAGGTTCAGGAGAACTTCTGAGAGAATGAGCAGGTTATTACTACCTGTAACCATTTAATACATACATATGTTTTCAATCTTCAAGTTCAGAAATATCTTACTCTAGTATTTTCCATGTCATTTTTACATTGGTTACATTACATTTTATCAGAAAATTAGTTTCTAAAGAAATATATATTACCTCTACATGAAATCCTGTGCTGAAATCCAAGAACACCTGCAAGAATGATAAGATGATCAGCATATAAAGACACAGGACAAAATTCAATAACCAAAACTTGGCTGCTATACATTGCTAAATTGCGAAGTAGGAGCAGTATGTTTTCTGTAATCTATTGTAATAACTTAAATAGGTTGTAGCTGAAGAATTTCTATAAATTACATTACATGGTTCTTTTTATTTTATTATTTTTTTTAATTTTTCCTTTATATATCGCTATAATTTTTGAAAGTTAATGCTTTTAAAATTATTTCTGTCTTTCAAGGCACTTTCAGTTTGAAGGGATGTGCCATACAAGTTATATCTATATAAAAATGCAACTTTCACACAGACTTTACATTATACCATCTCAGCTGAAGAAAGAAGGGTTTGCAAGATCTGTTCTAAAGAATGTGTATTTTATTCTTTGTTATTGTTGTATCATATTTAGAGAGTTTGCAGTAGACCTGTAATACTTTGATATACAGTTTAACCAAAAGGAACAAAAAGTTTTCTTCAAACATACCACTGAGGTTAAAGAGATTCCAGGTATAATGGAAAAAAAAGCAACTGGAATCAGGCAGATTTTCCTGGAGTTCAGTGGGCTTTAATTTGAAGTATAACCATGCAACTAAAGACTCATGTAAATAGAGTCAGATGCAATGAGTAATTACTTTAAAATCATATAGATTCATCAATTTCTTAATTAGCACAATTTAAAAGAAAGCACAGTTTAATTAATCTTCTTCCTAAATAAATTGTGACAATAAAGCTCACTTGGTCAATGTACTTTTTCAGAGCACTGTTTTTGATTCAGGATCTACCTTTACTCTCTTCAGATGTAAAGGTTGAAGAACATGGGATCTGAATGACTGGATTCTTGTTTCATAATTAGGAGAAAACATAATATCTATGTGACTCAAAAAGTGATGCAGAGTTTGTCTTTTCTCACCAAACTTGATGAATGGTTGTAGTTTTCAATTTTTCATGTTTTTGTAATTTCCCAGTACAGTTCAAGTTTTGTTTGTTTTCTTTCTTGGTCTGATGCCTTTTGTCTGGTAGATTTTGTGACAGATATTGTATGGATATAATGTGAGATGACTTTTCCGTTTGCAGTATATTTACCTCATGGGACTTTCCACACTTTAAATGTACCGTGTTGCTGTTCTGTCAAGGACTTTTTTCCACTTATTTCGTGTTAAAACAATCTCTTACATGCAAAAGATAAATGAACAGCACCTTTACCTTCATTTAAACGATGTCTCTAATGAACTGATCTTCCCAAGAACACTCATTGAAACCTCTTGTAAAAGCTGCTCTAATGTCTATGAAGGAGGGTGTTTGGGCTGTGTATCTACCTCATATATATATATACATATATATATATTTTTTTTTTAACGTTTAAATTTAAGGGACCATTCGTAAGTAATATGAAGTACTTAATCATATATAAGTAATAAAGTAATAGGAAATAAATACTGAAGTAAGAGTAAGGTTTTTGTTTTTGTTTTTGTTTTTGTTTTTTACTGTTTGTTTCTTTCTTTGAGCAAGTTATTGACACAAATTGTTAAGAAAAGTTCTCTACCAGACAATCATTACAAAGTTGCATTAGGTCTTTGGAAGGGAAACAGATATGTTCATATTGTATTCAAAACATCAATACAGCTTTTAATCTGAGTTTAAGTCTTGGGGACTGTTTAAATCTTTGGCTGCAGAATGGGATTCATATGAGTCATTACCTCAGAGAAGGCAATCTGCAATATTGGACTCATTTAAAGTGTGGAGTGGTTTCACCTCAGTAGAACTTAAACCCCGTGCTTTTATAAAACCCCTTGTGGCTTGGGAAAACATGGGAGAGTAGAAGGTGCAGATTACACCCTCACCAGAGAGACTGACTGACAAAGTCCACCAGAAATGGCACTGATTCAATGTTTCTTATCAGTTGATCCCACCTGCACAACAGAGAGTCCTTTAGCAAGTACAGTGAAATCCTCTCCACCCTTAGGCTGAAATCTCTTCTGGTATGCAAGCAAGGAATTGTCTTGACCCAGAAAAGTATGGCTATACTAATGCAATACCAGTGAGTCTCATCTTCTGACTGCATCCTATGGCGTATTCTGTCTTTTAAGAGTGAAACTGTATCACATCTGGTCATGTCACTCTTGTGTTTAACAGGGCTACCTGAAAAACTGTGTTGGACATCTTTGTAAACAAAAACTTGTGGAGAATTCTGTTCTTTAAAGACATAAATATTCATTAAAAAACTTGATTTCAGTCTATAGAGACTTTTCAAGCAATGAAAATATCCTTTTTACACTGCAGTTTCATCCACTGGAGCACTGGTAAGTGCTCCAGTGAATGCCAAGAATTTGGGAATTGTAAATTAAGGCCCAGTATTTCCACATTTGTCCGCCACTGACAAAGGACCCTGCTGCTACATGCTGCTAATTTCTCTTTAAAGAAATCTTGATGGTTTTGAGTACAGAGTCCTTAGTACAGTTTGTTATACTTCTTTACAATGCTGATCTAACAAACTTGAGGTATGCATTCAGCAAGACTTTCTCAGTTACTGCTGTATTATAGGAAGGAGGGCAGGCATACACCATATGAAATTGTCTCGTTCATCAGATAAACCTAGACAATTTTGAAGTGACATCTATCCAACATGACCCAGAGATGCCTCCCTAAGCAATGTTTTCTAGATCTCCACTATTATTAGCAGTTAAAAGGCTCTCCCCAGAACCCAGCTGTCTATTTTTAACATCCGTGTGATGCAAATTCTTTATCTAATGGTATTTCAAGAGGAGAAGTACATTTAGTCATCTGTCTGCTAGCAGCTAACTTTGGTATTCTTGTACATAATGAATGAATTTCCTTTCCAAACTAGTATCTGAGTGTCTGCATGCAGTACTTTCCATAGATTCAGTGCGTAATGATAATTAAAGCAATAGAAAGCACTGAAACCTGTGAGATGTATCATAAGGACCTTGGGGCAAGCAAGCTGATCAGAATGAAACCACGATTTCCTGTCCTGTTTGTCTCTGAGACACCCTGAAAACATGGAAACTGTGCTGAGAAGCTAAAAACTAGTTGCACAATCTGCTTCTGGTGTGGACTAAGAGAGGTGCAAGCAGAAGACATATTTATTGTGGCTGTCATTCTCACAGTAGCCTATCTGAAAGCTTGTATTTTATTGCAAAGAACCTTGTATTTAAAATGATGCTTTAGAATCACACTGGATTTATGCTGGATTTATTCTGATGTAACTGGGAAGAGAATTAGGCCTATAGGATGTGCATGGTTCTTTGCACCTTCAAAGCAATTTGCAAACAAAAATTAACTAATCATTAATTGACTGCCAAGCAATATTATACGCAATTATGGAATCCTCCCTCCTCCACCTACTTATATCTAAATGACTGAACACGCCTGTAACATCTTCCCAGCATTATTCATATTGGATCTGATTCTCATTCTTTGAAGTCAACAGCGGTATTGTTATTGGCCATGATGGGAGGAGTGCTGAGAACTCACATATATTATATGAGTCATCAGGGTGCCATGGTAGCTCTGGTTGTGTCAGCATTTTGGGACTTTTGCGTCTTACTCAGCCAAGCTTTGTCTAGTAAAAGGTTGAAATAATTAACCCTTCTCTTTATGCTTTCTGCACCTCTTTGAGAAAAGATAAATATGTGCATTAAGTAATAAGAAGCACACCTGAAATATAAGACACAAACTCATTTTAAAAAGAAGCAGTATATTCACTTTTAAATCAAAACAAAGATAAGTTTTTGTCTGTACTTTCCATTTTTGCAGGTCACTAATGATGTGCTTTCACTTTTAAGGGGATGTTTTTCAGGGTAATTTTTCATTTTTCTGTCAATTGCTTGTTGTAATTCTGCAAAAGTTAGGTGTTTCTGTTGCTTCCTGTCTTAGGAAGTGAAGTCAATATTTTGTATTGCACCTGGGATGGAGGACCCACTACTATTTCAACAGAAATATAATAATGTTCATGTCAGTCAGAAGAATAAATTCTAAAGTTGTATTTATTTTAAAATATATTTACTCAAAGAACTAACCATTCTGGGAATGTTCCCACTGAGAATGTTTTTTTTCTACTGAGAAATACAGCAGAGGACAAGTCATACAGAAATAATGAATTTCCATATATTACCTGAGCTTAACCGTTAGAAAAATGAATAGAAAGGTAATTTCAATACAGGGTGTAAGCCATTATCATTCAAATTTTAGTTTTTCAAATTACACATGATCTAATTGTGCTTTCCTCAATAAATATCCTCAATAAAACCTGAGTTCTAATACAGTTTAGAGTGCTCCAGCTGCAAATACACATTTACTTAGGGGTCATTTTTACTCAGGAATGTAACTGCAAACTTATGAAACACATCTTGCATGATAATTCCTGGTGCAGAATTGCTTTAGTTTCTATTTCTATAATATTTTTTCTTTTGCAGAAGGGCCTGCAGTTTTATGGCTACATCCTTGCAGATATTTAGTATGCAAGTGCAAGTAGATTATTTGGTTCCTTAATATTTTTATATGCAACCAAGTTATGAGTAGGAGGTGTAACCAGAGCCTAACAACTGGAAAAAAAAAAAAAAGATAACACATGGGAAAATGTAGCCAGACAAAAGTGCATATGAAAGATGCGGTGAATTTAAAATTATTAACAGTCACCTGATGGCTGGCAGGAGGAGAGTCATACCTGATCAAACAGGTTATTTCCATAAAACGTGTCTGTGCAAGTACCACAAGCAGAACTCCCTTACTCATGAGAATAACACCTTTGAAGTCACATGAGCAAGGGTTGCAGAATCAGTCCCACCAATGGTGAAATGCATATGGAAAATTATTACTTTCAGAGCTCGTAAGTTTTCTTTTTTTTGAAAGTGTGCTAGCATGCTAAAATATGTATAATTCCACAGCCATTTTATTTGCTACAACTTATTAGCAATATACTAAGCAGATACACTATTGAGACAGGTAATTTTCATGAAAGATTAATCAAGCTGAAAGCCAAGACACTTTCTCAGAATGCAGTAAAATTATATACATAATTTATAATACAGTTATTCTATACAGTTTCTCTATCAGCTTTCTGTACAGTGCTGAAAAATGCAGTTAGGCTGTACAGGCCACCATAAATGCTGTCATGCAGGAAAGCACACAACAAGAACAACAGTTGTTTCCTCTGGGTAGTAAAAGTTCATATATTTGGTACTTGTCTAAATGTAGTGGCAGTTTTCATAGTCACTCCTTTTTCTTGACATGCCCTGGTTCAGTCACAATCATAATGATAATATACCAAAAGAATGAAAATTGCTCCAGAGTTGACAAGAAAAGTTAAAGCAGTAAAAGCACTTTTGGACAGACAGATTTTAAATACAGTACAGCAAACTTTATTTGTATTATTATTTTTTTAAACTTCAACACATCGGAACTATGCATCACCAAGTAACAGAATAAAATGAATAGTCAGTATTGTAATATAAAAATCCAGCACTGTTAGTATCATGCGCAACAGGCCAATCTCACAGATCTGCATGCTGCATTGAACAAGCAGAAACTCATCCGAACCATAACTTGCTTCTGCCAAGTTTTGACATTGTTTGCTTGGCAACTGCCCTGCGCTGCTTAGTTCTACTTTACTGATTGCCAAACTGTGACTGTTTAAGCCTTGGGATTTCATACGCTATAATAACAAACCCTTCTTCCCTGACTACCGCATTTCCAGAGGTGTCAATAGTACGGAATTAACAAACATTTGCGCTTACTAATATATTGTGTAAAGTGAAATACACAAAAGGATACGACTATATTCTAAATTCTACCTTTATCAATCTTCAGGACCTTAAACCTCTACGTAGTTTTAAAAGAGCAGCACAGATGAGTGAGAAGAATCCATGTAAAATCATAATGTGGGAGTAGAAGGGCATCCATAATTCTTTTAAGTCATTTCTCAGTAATTTCTGTGCCTTGATGAACATACTGCACAACTGTTCCACTTGACCATACCAACTACTTTCCTTTTACCATAAGAAGAACAAACCCAAAGAGCAACACTTTCATCACGCATTCACTCACTGAGCACATGGCTGCTCTGACACAAACGCACACTACAAGGTAGGAATTATTTGTAACGTGAAATCATGGGCCAAGTCTTAATTTTTGCTTGGCTATAGTCTTCACTAATTTTTTTTTCTTTTTTTATCTTGAATGTAGCCATAAAACTCACATTCAGCTCTGAAACTAATCAGTTTAGGAAACAATATTTGCTCTCCATCTTCTCTCAATTGATCAGAAAAATAAAGACATAGAAGGAAATAATATCCAATCAGACTTCGGGGACTTAAAAAAAATATATAAGATTTTTATTAAGAAAAGCAACTCCTTAAACTGTACCCCTAAACAACATTTATCTGAAAATTCATGCATTAAACAGAAAGTTATATATTAAGCATTAAAAGACTGCAAAGTCATAATCAAAATAAATATTTGCCAGCATTTAATGAAAACCTAAGCTACTTGTATAGGATCTTCAGAAACTGAGTTTAAAACAACCAGAGCTTTATTTCTTTATGCTAAATTCACATTTATTTATTTATTTATTCTATGGGGAGTTGGGAAAGTCAGATTAGTTTACACTGTGAAAAGTAATGGTCTGCTGAGGAGATTCAACTGACACAATCATAAAGTTTACAAATATTGTTTTAAAATCTCACTTACCAATAAAAGGAACAGAAAAGCAGTTGTTCGGTGAGGGAGCCAATCCATTGCATCTGACTTCTTGGATACAAGTCCAACTGAGTTATGGTTACAGGTCTGTTCCTTTTCCCTCCCCCCCCCCCAGCTCTGATGTCTATGTAAAAAGACACTCGGTAGATGTCCTTATACTCAGCGTTTCAAGGTGCCTCTGCCTCCCTCTGAGGGAAGAACTGAAGATGCTGTATAACACAGTGTCTTTCCCCACCCCAAAATCCTGGGCTGGTCTCACCTGAAACGCTTGACAACATCATTATTGCTTGCAGGTAAAAGCTAGGAGACACACCTTAATGCTTATTGCACTGAAACCCTTTGTTGGATACAAAAGAGTACGTTTTAAAAACAGAAGGCAAGCTTTGCTCGGAAGATACTGAGTGATTTATAAATTACTCACAACATAAGGAATCATTAAAATGGTAACTTATCATTGCTTTGAATGCAGTTGCCAGTTTTCTCCTTACACCAAGTATAATAGAGGAACTTCGTGAATATTGGTGTGAAGAACATGGACTTGAAGAAATGATTAGTCTGAGAAAATGCACGTCCGTTTGTTTACTGTCAGGTGAGAAGTTAGTTCTATTCACATTGCCAATGAAAGTGCAGTACTCAGAGCAGAACAGGTTGCCATTAAAAAAAGTAACATTCATTTGAGGAAAAGAAAAGAAATAATAATAAAAAAGAGTGTTTTCTTCATTGGCCCACAAGAGTATTCAGAAGCAGAGAAAGGAGACTTTCTGCTTTCACTACCTGCAAAGTCTCCTCATGCCATACCTCTCCCTTCCTATGGGTTGTGCTCTTGCTGACATAGCCAGCATGGAGATGTACACATGCCTCCAGAGAAACTGGAGAGCTGCTCAAACTGACAGGCAGTGGAGTGCAAAGGGTCCTCCCCTGTGAGGGGTCCTCTCCTGTGTGCTGCACAGCTCATTTCTGGCCTCCTTTTGGAGGGCATGAGAACAAATATGTGTGGGATGGATAAATCTCTGCTCATCAGTGTACCCCTTTGCTCTGCACTGGAGGCTTTGTAAGTGCTTCCTTGCATATTTTGGACAACTAAATTGTCCCATGATGGGAAAGGTGGGCATCTGCTCTGCTGGTGGACCTGTGAGGAGGGTGCAAGCTCTATCCCCTGAAAGTGCAATACAACTGGCATTTCAGTTCTTGCTACTTGAACCCACCAAGGTGCTCGGCATGTCCCAGGACTAACTTCAAGCTGGGAAAAGAGGTCTCAGCACTTCTGGGGCTATGCAGCTGCTACTGGGATGAAACTCCATGCTCCTTCTGGGAGTATGACACACCTACCTACATGACTCTTTGCACAAGTGCCTTTCAGCCTTGCAGCTCGCTTAGGCTGCTGAAGCCTATCACACATCTCCCTGCTGTCACTCAGCCTTTGCCACTGAGTGCAACATGCCTGGCAGTGAGTTAGTGAGGAAACCAGGACAGGAAATGTTAAACAGATCCCACCTGAAGTTCTCTATTTTCTGGGAAATTCTTTTGGATAAAGACAAAATGAAAAGTTATTTTGCACGTGTAGAATGTGCATACTCCTTATGGACCAAAATAGCTTATTTCAGAACTTTTGCTGAGTTGCATATTCCAAAATATGTCAGTTTTGAAACATTTTCCTTTCTGGGTTTTTCACCTGTTTGGTTCAGAGTTTTATTTCATTTAGCAGAATTCTTAACATTGTTTTCTGTATGTTTTTGAATATTTCTTACCTCAATGATATCATCATTAGTGCAATAACATAAAAAATATTTGTGTTACTATCTCAGTAGTAGGTGAAGTGAGCCAATGTTTTGGCAGTTCAGAGTTAGGTCTATACTTTCTATATAGGGGAAATACATAAAAGAAGGGCAAACACAGTTTCAAAATGAGTACTCTTCTCAAACTTCTCTACAGATCATTGGAGAGAAGAGTCAGTAGATTATTTTTTGAGTATCCTTTAAAGAAGTTAGATAAAAAATATTTTATTAAGATTATCAATATATCACAGCATGTGAAAACTATATAGGAGACATGGTAGGAACAATTCAGAAAACAAGAAAGGCTGAAAGTATTACTCAAAAATGCTATTGCTAGTTCTGTATTTTCATTTTGACCACTGAATAAAAGTTATTTCTTGCAAAATAAAATATACATATTCTTTTACAGACAAAAGCATCTCATGTTTGTTGTGTCTATTTTTATTACAAGAAAAGTTAACATGATATATGAAAGATGATAAAATTCCTCAAACAATAGTGATAGTCCCAGCAACAGTGAAAACAATACCCCTCCCATCCCCCCTCCCCAGCTATGACACTGTATCTGTCTGTGACATATCAGTGTTATGAAGTACACTGTACGTGGACTTATCAGAGAGGATAAATAGGAACAATTGTTCCATGTGAAAACTTGTTGCATGAAATTTCAAATGTGGCTTCAAAAAAAATGGTCAAAAATTGCAAAATATTATTTGCATATTAACAATTACTAATAATAGTTTAGTCTAAGCAAAATGACAAAAGAAAGTATAATGATTTGATCTAGCTTGAAGAAGAACTCCTAAACCACTGATCATTATCCTTTGGGAACACGGGGGTTGATATGACAGAACTGGTGACATCCACCTAACAGACATTTTATGCTCTGAGAGTCTTTCTCTCTATTATATTTTATCTGAAGATTTTTTATTTTCTTCCTCTCACCCCTCTTAGCACCTTACAGAACAGCAGAAGGAAGGGCCTTGAATCAATGTGTAAACTGAACTGCATAATTCAAAATACAACCGGCATATAATGCACTAAGTTAAAATTTCACTTTTCACAGAAAGATTTTAAAACATGTTTTGGTGTCTAAAAACTCAGCCTGTTGATAATGCAAAGGGGTCTAGTTTCTACTGACCTCTATTTGCGCAGGGTAGCTAGTTCAAGTGCTTTAGAAAGCATCCTTTTCCTACTGTGATGGCCTCATTACTTTTAAGACTGTTCTTGAGACACTTTTGAAAATAAGGTGTAAGCTCTTAAACATGAAGTCTACATCATCAGCCCAAGCCTACAGCCAATTTTAAACTTGGCTCATCTATATTTGATACAGCCTTCTATCACATATAGGTGTATACATACATTGGAACTGACTTTCTGATTATCTCACAGGAAAAAAGTTTGTTCCTGAACACCTCCTGGCACACTCTTCAATATAATTTATGCATGTTCTTCTGCTGTGGCTCTGGGGGTTCTTGCCTCAGACCTAGTCCCCCACTCTGCATGGTCAGAAAGACTTCTCTACCTTCTTTTCTGTAAAATGGCCAGATCTTGATAAAAAAAGGCAGATTTTTTTTCTCAGAATCTGTAAGATGTCCACTGAAAGGGAGATGCTTAAAAAAAAGTTGCAAGTTGTAAGTTAGTGTTGTAAGATATATATAAATGTAGAAACAACAGTAATGCTATTTTGCTCTGCACCAGTGCATTTCAACAGAAATTTTTGATGGTTTAAAGTACAACAGTTTGTATCTCATCTGGACGGCAAAACAGGATAAATGTTTTCACTTGACAAAATCTCTGACAATACTCTGTGATTGCTAACTGCATCTCTATGTTAGTGCTCTCAACTGAAAAAAGGTTGATCAACATAACCTGTCATTTTCAAAATGTGTGAAAATCAAATTAATACGATCTGAAGTTATCCATGAGCCTGTTCTTCCTCTAGTTGTGTTGAAGAATCAGTATTATCCTACTGTGTGATCCAACTACAAAAGAAAAGGCTATATGAATCTTTTTTTGCTTGTTTGTGTCACAGATGAAGGAGGAGGGAGTCACCGATGATGAAGAGATAACTGAATTGCAGATAAGAAATTCCTGCTGGCGTAAATCCATTGACAGCACTTGCTTCAGTGTGGAGGCTGGCAAAAAGCGTTTCTCAAGGAGAGCTGCTCAACAACTCCTTACCTTCAGGCCAAGTGATGTGGTTACGTGTTGGGAGTGTTAGTGGATGCAGAAAAATGAGGTGGCAGCTAGTGATCTTCCTATATTTTCTTTTCATGCAGCATTTAAGTAAGGCAAACCACAACTCCAGGACAATAGCACTTTCCTCTGGAGCACAAAATACTTCCTTCTGTTCATCACCTGATAAGGCCAGCAGACACTTGTGAGTCTTAGCCTATGTTGTAGGTGTTTTTGCACATGCCTGATGTTAATGTTTCTGTGTTTTTAGGCTCTAGCTCACAATCTTAGTTGAAGAGTCCTACTATAAAGAGAAAATACATGAAAAGTTTTTTTGTTGTTGTTGTTTTGTTCTAGAAGTCTATATTAAAACAATGTTTTCACTTAAATGTTTTTACAGTTTTTCTGTCTGAACTAAGCATATGTATTTATACAATTTTACATTACCCATGTCTGTAAAGAATGTGTATACTCTTCTTGTTTGAGAGGCTGTGTACTATTTTCAGGTTTCCTACATGGCTTAAAGCCTGCACTTTCTAGTGATACTACGCCTACAAAGCAGATAATGGTAAGGAGGAAGGGTTAATGGTGCCAAACCAGGGGCAGAGAATGGGTAGGTCAGCCCCTTTGGGCTGTAGAAAGAGCTTGGATCTACTTGAGATAAACACAAAAACACACCCTAAAATTGAAGTTTGAAACAGTTCTCAGACATAGCCTTGAGTGAAAGTCTCCTGTGTGGGAAGAAGAAAAAAAAATTAAACTTTTCTGCTGCAGTTTTACCTTCCTGATTAAAGGATGTGTGTTTCTCCAGCAGTTACCTAGAGGATCTGTCATTTCTAAGTCAATACAGACCTGCATTCAGAAAAAGCAAGCTAGCCTAGGACTTTTCAGGGTAAGCAAGCAAGAACATTGATTTAAATTATTTTATCAATGGCATATTCAGATCTACATGGAAGGTCAAAGAAGAGAGTTTCTGTAATAGAATATGTATGCCCAAGAGAAGGCAAATGAGAAATATCATTAGCTCCATCAAAGCAGTGTATGAAGGAAGACAGTTCCATTAGCTTTATTTTAATATGAGGAACCTGAGGAACAGAAAGATGAAGTGACTTGTCTGAAACTCAACAAAACAGGTACAGAAGTCTG